GGTGTTAGGAAAATTGGATAGATACATGCAAAAAAATGAAACTAGACCACCAACTTGCACCATACACAATAATAAACTCAAAATGGATAAAGGACTTAAAAGTAAGACAGGAAACCATAACAATCTTAGAAGAATTCATAGGCAGCAAAATAGCACACATATGTCGTAGCAATATCTTTACTGATACAGCTCCGGCAATAGAAATTAAGGAAAAAATAAACAAATGGAACTTCATCAAAATAAAAAGCTCCTGCACAGCAAAAGAAACCATCAACAAAACAACAAGAAAGCCCACTGCATGGGAGGACATATTTGCCAATGTTATCTCCAATAAGGGTTTAACCATTTGTACACCATAAGCGTCTATAGATGCAAACAGTGGACCTTTTTAAATTAAATTCAAAATATTGTGGCAGTGAACTGGTTAATCTCCAAAATTTATAGGGAAATCATACAACTTAACAAAAGGAAGATAAACAATCCAAACAAAAAATGAGGAAATGACCTAAATAGACACTTTTCGAAAGAGGACATACAGAAGGCCAAGAGACATATGAAAACATGCTCAAAATCACTAAAATATTTTATTCGTTCCAAATAACCTTTCCTGGGCATTCAGAAAGACCATACAAAAATATATAGTTAGTAAATGCTTAAAGTGCTGACCCTGCTATGCCTTGAAAACGTACTCTATTGGGGGATTTCTGAAAAACAAACTCGTAGTTGTTAAATAGTGTAAGGACTTTAAAGAATTTAATTGACCCTTCTCTTAGGAATTACCAAGTGGTCACATCAGGACTTCAAAGTTTATGGGAATCCTTCCCTAACCTCCCTACCCCCAATCTTTGTGCTTAAAAAAAATTCCTCCCATTGTTAAAATCAAAGAGTTTTTAAAAATTAGTCTTTCTGCCCTAGCCAGTTTGGCTCAGTGGATAGCGTGTCACCCTGTGGACCAAAGTGTCCTGGGTTCGATTCTGGTCAAGGGCACGCACCTTGGTTGCAGGCTCCTCTTCAGCCCCGGGGGCCTTGGTTGGGGCTTGTGCAGGAGGCAACCAATCGATGTGTTTCTCTCACATCGATGTTTCTCTCTGTCTTTCCCTCTCCCACTCTCCCTAAAAATCAATGGAAATAAATATCCTCAGGTGAGGATTAAAAATCAGTCTTTCCTTTCTGCTTTTAAATTACATTGAGAAACAGTTACATAATGGTTATGATTTATGCCCCAGGTCTCTGCTTACCATCTGCCCTATATATTGACAAATTTTCTGAAATCTCTTTTCCTATGTAACTTGCCTATTCTAGAATGAAAAAGGAATCCCAGCTTCCAGTAGTGATCTTGTTATTCAGATCCCCTTCCTCGGCCATTCTTCTATCCCATCCAGCCCTATCTTCTAGCCTTTGCTAATGTATTTGTTTTCCTGGCTCTCTACACAGACAGACACACCAGGAGCTGGCTGATGGGAATCCTACCTGCCTGGCAAGGCTATTAAGTTCTGCTCCATCTAGGCCACAACAGGATTTTACCTTCTGAGAAATATGTCCATCAGCTCACAGCCGCAAAACTTAGCACTTAATTGGTTTAATACAAAACAAAATTACATGTAAAGTTTGTTTTTCAAACTTTGAATGAGCTCCCCAAGGCATCTGATCTGTCTAGACGTTTCTGTTTTCCTCACGGTGGCTACAGTAACAAAGAGCTTGTGAATCCCTTTGAAATTTTTTAGCATTTTTTTTATTTTGGCAAAATATACATAATATAAAGTTTATCATCTTAATCATTTTTAGGTGTAAAAGTCACTGGCATTAAGTACTGCTGTGCAACCATCACTACCTGGCTCCAGAACTCTTTGGGACACTATTGTCACAGTCTACAGGAGGCAGACAGAAAATTTCCAGTTAGTTCCTAATAATAAAAACCTAGTTTTAATTCACTGAACTGTATGCCTAAAAAAGTGTATATTACTGTGTATTAATTATACTTCAACATTACCAATTAAAAGCAAATAAGGAGGGATATAGTGGGAGTGGGCTGGGGACAATTGGGACCCAGACCACAAGGGGTAGAGGCACAGTGGCAGAGATGGGGATTTTATCAGAAGACATAGGGACCCTTGAAGAGGCTGAAGAGAGTAGTGGCATTTATCCACTCACTCATGCCCAACATCTTTGAGCAGCTATGTTCTAGACACTGTGCCCCCACTAGAATTGGTCAGACATGTTTCACAAAGTTCATCCTGACTGCATTATAGATGATTGAGGGACAAAGCTAGTGGTGTTTGTCATCATTCAAGTAAAAAATACTAAATTAAGGCAGTAGCAAAGTCAGGAGAGAGCAAAAGCTGTATGTATTTTTAGTTTTACCTATTAATAGGGCCATCATGAAATCCCTATTCCATCATTTTGTTCCTATTTTTAGTCACTCCAAGGTTACTTTAGCTTGTTATGTAGCACACCAGATAAGCATTATGGTATACCAAGTGAGTAGACTGTATTATATCATGGGTTCATACTTCTTCCATACAACCTTTATTTATAATTTAAATCATATAATATCCTCATAATAACGGCTAAGACTATATAAGTGTGTATGTACAGGCGCATGTGTAAATCTTTTTAATTTGCCAAATTATTTTTAGACTTTTAAAAAATGCCTGATTTTATGTATATCAGAGGACATTTGAGATAGGAACATACTGGCTATGGCAAAGGGTTTCTCCTTGTATTACAAAAATACCACTTAAGAGAAATACGCAATATATTTAATTTATTCTCACTTAATTACAAAACCCTCAGAACACAAAACTAATCATTGCAAATGAGCTAATCAAATTACAACAATCTTTGACATTTTAGTTCAAAACACATTAAAAAAGCATGCAAAACGTACTTTCCTATTTTTAAAATTATATTTAAGTGCCAGTTGATGCCACAGAGGTCATTTGGAAATAATAGACACTGTCTGAGTCAATGCTCTGACTCCCGGCTCAGCCACGGATTTTGTTCTCTTGGTTTTCAAATTAATATCTCTGGGGAAAACTTACTAAAAATTGGGCAGAGAGTAATGAAGACTTTTTATTTATTTACTTTGAATTTTGTAAAGAATGCTTTCAAAGGCATTAGCAACTGTTGCCCAGCTACAAATGAAAAATTAATTTAAGGAACTCACAGAGCATTTTCAGGGCCTCATTCCAAATAGAATTTCTCAGACAGACTAAAATTGTACTCTTCTCATCTTCAGCCCACTTGAAGTTAAAAAAAAAAAGGCAAGATAGTAGGTGTAAATGACTAAGAAGGGCCCCAGAGGATGCTCTGGAAGCTGAAGGGTTAGGAGCTTCATGTAGTATGTCTTGATAAGATTTCTAGACTATCTGTAATTTGCTGATTGTGAGGAAAACCAGATTATTAAGAGACCTTGTGAAGCCAACAGCTACAAGAGCTTAAAATGCATGTGAAATTTGGGATGACGTGTGGGAACAGGGACTCTAATACTCTATGACCCCAAGTGCCATTTAGGAGTGACTCCTATCACAAATGCAAAAAATGTCACAGGAACAGGGGACAGACATCTTTAAAGCGTCAAAAAGGAATTGTAAAAATGACTAGGAAGAAGATAGAAACTACAAAGTCCATTATGCAACATCTGAAAGTTTTTACTTGGAGTGGGCTGAGTTGAATATTACAGCACAAGACAAGCAGATAAGGCAAATAGGCTGCCTTTGTATAAATTAGGAAAACACATGCATTTTTTCAGGTTTCCCTATGTTTCAGCCCCATTTATCCCACCGACTGGGCAGCCTCGTGCAGTGAACAACCTGTGCAATCAGGAAAATTACTCGTTAGTAGTTTACTTACAGAGCGAGTGATGCAAACCTATATGTTTGACCTGAATATTCAAAGGAAAGAGTAGGCAATTTGGTAAAGAAGTGGTTAGTCACAGAAAACCACTTGTTAAATTATCTGAGCTGAGTATTTTAAGGGACCACATCAGAAAGAGTTGATCTATGCCTAGGTTCTTATTTCTACCAAGAGTTGAGAAATCAGACACAAAATAACCCATAATAGAATCAGATATTTACACCATTCATAATCAACATTGCTTTTCTATTTCATTCCGGAGGATGAGGCCCAGAAATCAGGATTTTAAAAAGATTCCCAGGTGATTCTAATGTGCAGCCAAGGTTGAGAACCACTGCCTTAGAGGAACTGCCTGCTTCCTCTTCTCTAAACACATTTGGAAATCTATTAGTCACGATGGTCTCAAAGCCACACCTCTATAGCAGAGCGGTTCTTATAGGAGGAGTGAGGTGGCTGGTACTCCCACTGAGAGCAAAGTGCCTTTTCCACTTTTCCCTAGCCCACCCCTCTCCCCATCTAGTTCCTCCAGCAAGCACATTTAATTTACTTAAAACCGAATCCGCGTCACGAAAAACAGTGTGAAAACTCCATGAGTTCACTGAGAGATTTTTAATTACCTTGTTGGTTTATTCTCCACTCACCTCCACACCCACCCCATTTAAGTAGCAGTGCCCAAATACCCCAGAGCAATAAAAAATGCTCAGGAAACTTGAGGATTCCATGAGAACTATAGCAAGAAATCAGGCCCTTTCATTCTAGTCAAGAAAAACTGACTGGGTTGCCTAGACAGGTCTCAGAAAGGTGTGAACACAGCTGCCCAGGCTCTGGTCACCCTGGGAGGAATGACAGCAACATCTGCTCAGGCCAAGACGAGCCCTGGATGGAGAGGGCCTTCCTCCACTGGGCAGGGACTGCGGGGTGGCATGGTGCTGCTGACTCCGGCCTTGGTTACTCAGCATGGAGACCTAAATCTAGAAGGTGTCCCTAGTTTCAAGGAGGTCATGTGTGTACAGGCTTCAACAGGTCACAGCAGCACCATTTCTTTAACTTCACATTAATAAAATCCTTCCTTAAGTTACTTGAAATACTGAAGATGCCCTCTGGAAAAGGCCTTGCCAGTCAAGGAAAAAGTCCATGCTGCTCACCTCAATAATGTAGAGAACCACGTTCTTGTAGAAGCAGTACAATATGCACTTGGTCACCCGGTTGTAGCTCCAGGCCCCATGAACCAACAGGAGCTTCTCTAAGTAGGAAAACTGCAAAAAGAAAATGAAGTTCAGAGAAGCCCATCATCCTATATAATAAAAGCTTAATATGCTAAGTGTCTGGTTGACCGGCCGGCTGTTCAACCAATCAAAGCGTAATCTATATATATAAAAGCCTAATCAACTGGACCACTGGGCGGTAGCTATGATGCGCACTGACCACCAGGGGACAGACGCTCAACACAGGAACTGCCCCCTAGTGGTCAGTGTATTCCCACAGCAAGAGCACTGCTCAGCTGCCAGACGCTGGGCTCATGGCTGGCAATGCGCAGCTGTGGTGGCACGAGCCTCTCCCAGGAACACTCCCCCCACACGCCCAAGCAGTGGCAGGGCAGACGCAGCATGGCTGGGATGAGTGGGAGCAGCACAGCACCCAGCCCAGGCTCAGCCTCCTCCCTGGCGGCCTACTGCTTCATGCACTATTTTGTGCTGTGTGGGATCTATGACAGTGGGCTAGAGTCTGATGAGCTGGTAAGTAAGGCAGGGCTGTGGTGGCACAGAGTTCCACTGATCCCCGCAGGCCAGGCCGAGGGACCCCACTGGTGCACGAATCCATGCACTGGGCCCCTAGTATGCTAATGATATGCTAAGGCCGCTCAACCACTTGCTATGACATGAAATGACCACCAGGGGGCAGACAGTCAATTGGTTGACCAGTCGCTATGATGTGCAATGACCCCAGGGGACAGACGCTCCGACCGGTAGGTTAGCTTGCTGCTGGGGTCTGGCCAGATGAGCCAGACGGGCCAGATGAGCCAGATGGGCCAGCTGAGCGAGACGGGCCGGACACACCCTGGAGCCCCCCTGCCATCTCTCTCTGGCTGGCCAACCTCCTGCGTCTCTCCCCGGCACCAATCTTGCACCAGTGGGGTCCCTTGGCCTGACCTGCACTCTCTCGAAATCCAGGACCCCTTGGGGGTTATCGGAGAGACAGTTTCAGCCCGATCCCACAGGGGGAGCACCGCTCACAGCTGGTGAGTGCAACAGCGGTGGCGGGAGCCACTCCCATCTCCATGGCAGTGCTAAGAATGTCTGACTGCTGGCTTAGGCCTGCTCCCCCCAGAGGGTGCAGGCCAGGCTGAGGGACCCCCCTCCTCCGAGTGCATGAATTTCATGCACTGGGCCCATTTTAATTATTATGTGCCTAGGTGTGAGTCTTTTGAGGTTCATCTTGGCTGGGACTCTGTGTTTCCTGAATGTGAGTGACATTTCCCTTCATCAGGTTAGGGAAATTTTCTGCCATTATTTCTCCAAACAGGTATTCTATTCTTTGCTTGGATTCTTCTCCTTCTGGTACCCCTATGATGTGAATGTTGTTACATTTCATGTGGTCCCAAAGCTTCCTTAAACCCTCTTCCTGCTTTTTATTTTATTTTTTCCTATTTGCTGCTCTGAATGGTTGTTTTGTTTTTTTTCTACCTTGTCTTCTAATTCACTGATTTGGTCCTCAGATTCTTCTAACCTACTGTTAAATCCTTCCAGGTTGTCCTTTATTTCAGCTACGTCATTCCTCATTTCCAATAGATTCTTATTTATTCTTTCAACCTCTCTTTTCATGTTGGTGTAGCTCTCATTGTCTCTTAATGTTCTCATTAAGCTCCTTATAATTCTCGTTAAGTTGCTTGTAGTTATCCCTGAATTGTTTGACTACCCTTATTACCATTACTCTGCATTCTTTATCTGACAAAGTGCTTGCCTCCATTTCATTTAGTTCCTTTTCTGGTGATTACTCCTTTTCTTTCATTTGGGTGTTGTTTCTTTGTTTCCCTATTTTTACTGTTTCGTTGTATTTGTTTCTATGTATTAGATCAAAGTTCTATGCTTCCCAGACTTTGTGGGGTGGTCTTATGTGGAAGGTGTTTTGTGGGACACAGTGGTTTAGTTTAGACCTCCTGAACTGGGTGCTCTAGGAAAGTCTCTTGCTTGAGTTATTTGGGTCCTCCTGTTATAGTTGTGTCTTGAATGTTATTGTCTCATTTGTGGATGGAATCTCCTCTCAGACTGGCTGACTATGTGGCTCATCCTCAACCACTTCAAGCAAGCTGTTGTGGAGGTGCTATCAGAACAGAAAAAAAATACAACACAACAAAATGCAAAATAAAGGAAACAAAACTAAAACATACATAACAAAATCAACTGCCAGAGAATAGAGAATTAGGAAAGAGAAAAGAGAGCAAGAATGATAGAAGAATATGAGGAGGAAAATAACAAAACCAACCAACCAAAATACCCCACACAAACAAAAAACAAAACAAAAAATGGGGGGGGGGGATAAGGGAGTAAAAGGAATATGTAGGTGCAGAGCTAAAATAAAGAAATTAAGATTAAATAATTAGGGGAAGGAAAATGGTTTGAAATAGAGAAGAAAAGAAAAGTGAGAAAGATTTATTGAAAAGGAAAATAGAGGAGAAAGCAGATAGACCCAAAATAAGAAAAGTATAAAAGATGAGATATGAGGGTAAAAGGAAAAGAGAGAAAGAAAAAAGATTGTATAGAAAAAGGGAAGATGAAAATTAGATACATGAATGAAACAAGAGAGACTAGAGCAATAACAAATGAATAAAGCAGATAGATAAAGAAGATGAAGAAAAAAGGGAAAAAGAAAGGAAAGAGAAGAAATTTAAAAAAAGCAAAAGAAAAAATAGAATAAAAGGAGGGAAAAAAAGGTGAAGTGGCGTTCATTTCAGCCAAGTTTAGTGCCCCATAGGAGCTTCATTTGGATCCTACTCTTCTGATGACTGTGGCTTACTGTTTTGTCTGCCAGTTCTGGTCTTTCCCTGAGATATTTTAGGTGCTAACCCCTATCAGAAACTGTCCTCCTTTGGCTTTCAGCAACCTGCTCGAAGCTCCAAGTGAGCCACAGTTTGTGTCTGTCTCCACAGGACTTGGCTGCAAGCAGGAAGGCCCAATCTGCCTTCTAAAACTGGTTTGTTAGCATGTGGAGCCCAGGGCTGGGTCAGCAAACTTTCTCTGGTTCCCTGGGTTCCACCTCTGCCCGCCTTTGCCTGCTAGCCAGCTGTCAATCTTAATCACTCAAAAGTCTGTCTCTGAAAGGGCTTTAGGCGGGGAAGGTGCTGCTCAGATTTCAGGGAATGTGGTTAGTGTGTTTCCCTGTCCCAGGGCTACTCCTCTGCAAATGGCCCAAAATATTACTCTGCCCTCGGCTGGGCAGAGATCCTTGTATGCAATCCAGTGGGATCGGCTGCAAACCTGGACTTTCTATCAGCTCTCCCATGAGGGGAAAATACCAGACTAGACTGGTGCCCAGGATAGTGGGGCAGACAGGCCTTCCCTCATCCAGTCACTGAGGGCTCTGAGACTTTTCAAACCCATGGCTTGGACTCTGCTTTTGTTTCCTCTGAAAAGGTCAGAATTCAGGGTGTGGTATGCAGGTTTCCTGAGAGTGGAGCAGGCTATATTACCTAGGGCAGGGGTTTTTTTCTTTACCTGCCCTGTGGCTGCTGGAAGTGGCTAGCTCCTCTCAGGAAAAATGGCCCTTTCAGTTTGGACACTTATGAACGACCAAAGGCAGGATTCCTGACATTTCCAGATCTCCCTGCATTGCTCCCCACCCTAGCCTCTCTTTAGACACCTCAAATCCATGCCTCCCTTCCTGCACCAAAGTCTCAGGTGAGTAGTTGCAAATGAAAACTCCTGTGCTCTGGGTTTAGAAAAAACACAAAACTGTGGTTTTCTCTCCCACTGGCTCTGGTTTGCTGGCTCCAGACTCTGCTGCTGCTGACAGCAGCCCTGCCGCCTTTCACAGCTGGATGTTATGTGGGCCGTGGGTCTGGGCTCTGGTGCTCCAGGCTGTGGAGCCCAGCCTGGGCTCTGGGCCTCTATCTTTTGAGGGCACAGAGCCTCCCATAGCCCAGCACTCCCCCTCTCTCGGTCCTCCAGCCTGCTGCCCCTGGGAGCTGGGGCAGCTCCTCTCACGACCTCGCCTTTCCTACCGGTCTCCAGGTGTTTTCTGTCCTTCCTCCTCCTCAACTGGACTTCGTTGGTAATTCCAGGTGAATGTTCTCCAATTTAATTGTGTTTCTAGTTTGGCCCTGGGATGAGGTGCATGACAGATCTGCCTATTTGGTCACCATTTTCCCCTCTCACTCTGTTGTTGTTGTTTTTTTGTGTGTGTTTTGGTTTTGTGGATTGCTGTGCTCAGGCATGAATGGACTGTTAGGAATGATCCTGTTTAAATTATGGTTTCTATACATTTAATGAGCCTCACAGCAATGTTGAGTTCTCCTTTGGTTGCCTTGAACTAAAACCTTAGTTCCCTGTTCTGAGTCACTGGGCAGTCCACAGGTTCAACCCCATGACTCTCCTAAAAGAACCAATCAGGCTGTATTGAGCATGTCCACAAACATTAGAAATTCTTTTGCTATTATAAACTTTCTCTTACTTTCAGATGACTTTTGAAATTAAATTTAACTATCTGTAGAAAAGACAGAAAATACAATATTTTAAAAAAGATATTATTTTTAAGAGGGAGCCACATAATAATTTCCATTAGCACTAAAGAAGGGGACTCAATCTGATATGACATAGCCTTCCAATGAGTTCCTCCAGATCAGGGTGAGGCAGGTCCCCAACTGCACACTCCAAAAGCGAAATGACAACTTCAAAATGGCAGGAGTAGGTACATATGGAAAAATAAAACTTCCCATAAATGCTCATTAAGGATTCCCAGGAGGAATGAGGAATCATAAAGTAACTAGCTACACAAATAAAAAGGAAGTTTGTATTTGACCCAGACCCCCTGATGTTACACTTCAATGGGCACAGAGAACATCTGCTGGACTCATCCCAAATGTCTCAACTTTAGCACTGCAATGATTTATTTTCAGGAAAAAATAATATCCTAAATCAAAATGCTGTTTTCATGAGGTCGTTCAGAAAACATTAAGAAGGTGACGGGCAGGATTGATTCTCTCCTGAGGAGAACAGACCACTGAGAGTTCCAGGTGCAGGCACAGGCTGCCCATGGGCGAGGCACCAAATCAAGGATGGTTGTCAGTCCTGAGAGCTGCCCTGTGGATAAAAGCACAGGCAGGCTGGAAAGAAGTAGATCCAGAGCTTTGCCTACTTCTTAATTTTTCCAAGGACAATTCTTTAAGCAACATTTTCTTCTTCTGTATATAACCCTTTGGTATACTTTAAAAAAAAACCCAAAACAATCAAAGTTGATCATCCACATTAAAATGAACAGATAAACAAGCTGTTAACTTTAACCAAAGACATTTCTCATTTTACTAGGCAAAGGAATTCATAAAATTGTGGTCTTTCCCACTCAGTAACTACAGAGGAAGCACTGTTGGGACTGTAAGGTAGGGAGGAATGCTGCCCTAAAATAATGGGACCTCTGCCTAATTATGAACAGGACCACAAGCAGGAGAAATGAAGACCCACAGACATGGGGACCATTCATCAGTTGCTTTGGCAGGGTGACTATTATGCTGAAGGGGCAAGAAAACCCCTAAATAGAGTTAGAAAGCCCTGCTCCCTTCTCTACCCTTCTTTGATGCTTTTAATTTGAAGAGAGCAATTGCTCCAGATTCCACATCCTATTAGTATGCAGTTTCAATAAGGCAGGTCATAGAATCGCCCTTCCCTAGACATTTTAAAGAAAAAGACAGACAAATATTTGCCTGGAACTCCTAGGAAACCTTTAAAGATCCCTTCCAGCCATATGATGCTATAACTCAAGTATTTAATAATGCTGGGGTGTATAACATCTACACTTACTGACAGACTACAGGAAGCGGGAGTCCCCCAGGCCTTGGAGTAGTTGACACAAGAAAGTAAACGGGCAGGTGTGTGGGACTGGTCCCCAAGGTCACACACAGGTCTGGTGTTCTCGGACCCTGGATGCTCCAACCTGAGGCAGGTCACCTGAAAGAGCCCCAGTGTTCCCACCTGTAAAATCAGAATTCCTTCTACCTACTTTGAGCAATTATCTTGAGGGTTTATTTGAAATCAACAAAGGAACAAGATTGATTTCCTGCACTTTTCGGAGCCATGAGGATTTTGTAATTCCTCTCTGGGTTGGAGAACCACGATGTGGAAGGGAATCCGAGAGGTGATCTAGTGCAGAGCCCTCCTTCGGGGAGATGAAGCCCCAAAGCTGCAGAGGACCAGCCTGCAGCCCTGGGGGGACTGGAAGCTCTTTTCTGTTTCATATGCAGCCCCTGGTTTCATTGCTTGTGTTCATGGAATTATGGTTAACACATTCTTCAAAAGACTAAACAAGGGATAAACAGGAGGGAGGCCTCACTAACCCGCAAACAAGTGGCATTTAATAAAAACATACTGTAATCAGGAGACAGGAGGAAATGCTGTTTTCATTGTCCTGACTAGATTTTCTGTATAATCATGCAGGCCAAATGGGGTCAGGTGGTTGGCTGACCCTTTCCTTTTTGTCCATCATTAAGGAGCAGACATGTTTTCTATCCTCCGGCCACTTGTACAGTAACTACAGTGTATCAGGGGCCGCTGCATGGGATGTTCCATCCAGAGAGGAATGGGATGAACTTGGCCTAAGTGCAGGAGGCTGTTTGCTACTTGCTGTGGGGTACTTATGGCCCAAACCCAGCTCTCAGCAATGCCCTTTACAGCAGTGGTCCCGGGCAGTGCCCTGGTCACAGCCACAGAGAAAATGGCAGCTGCAAATCATTGCTTTTCCCTGATCTCAAATGCCTGAGAGAACGTTCCAGCACCTCTGAAAGAGGGGAGATGCCACCATGGGAATTGTAGAGAGTAGATGTTATGAACACAGCCATTCTGTGGCAGAGGATGGCAGATGGAAAAGCATGTGCAGCAGATGCGTGAGTTGAAGGTAGGAGATTATTAGTAGGACCAGAGACCTAACAGTCAGGGATGATATCTTGCCTGAATGACAGAAAGCTTGGCCAACCCACAGCTGGTCAAAATAAAACTGACTGGCAGGTCAGGGCCTCCAAACTGTACAAGATCAAGACTACAAAGTTCAAATACACTCGTGGTTTCACCTAGATGGCAACCTCCAAGGGGCTGGCAGTTTTTAGGGCTGGACTGACAGGCTCAAGCATCCAACAGGCCTTCATGCCCAGCTGACAGCTCTGTCCACGGGAAAGGACAGCTGGTCAACCATGCCTCTGACCTGTGCAATGGCATAATCCGAGTTGTTGGTCGCCTGCATGCCTTCATTCCCACTGATTCCCACACCCACATGGGCTGTCTGGATCATCCCGACATCATTGGCACCGTCCCCGATGGCGAGGGTGATGGCCTTTACCCGCTTCTTAACCACGTCTACTATCTCAGACTTCTGCAGAGGAGACACTCTGTAAGAGAAGAAAGAGAAATTATGACTGTATTGATCTTTCCAGAGGAAACAGCTGTAATCTACATTTAGCTGCATTAAAAGGGCAGTCATCGGACAATTTCCAAATTCAATACATACGTTTTATGTTCGTGTGCAAAAAAGCTTTCAGAAAACAGTAGCTTGTGGCTTTCAAGTATTTGCCAACTTCACAGATGAAATACACAACTCAAAACTAACTTAAAACACAGCCCATCTGTAATCACCCTGCTCAGTGGGAGCCCCATGTGCAAACACCCCAGGGGCACGTGTGCCCTCCCGAAAGATTCAGGCAGTGAAGCTGGTTACAGAGGCTTTGGGAAATGTCTTCCCAGCAAATCAGAAAACTAGCAGACTCCATTTTTGCTTTGGTGAACATCATTCACAACCTAGGGCTGGCAAAAGAATTTTCCACAAAATCTGCTTTCACAGAAGGGAAAGTAAGTTGGCAGAGCTTGAGAAGTGCAGAAAGAGGATGCAAGGAAGAAGAAAGAAGAAAGACTTCTCCAACTCCACCCCAGAGACAGAGACAGCATTTGAAGGGCAGCCAAGGCAGAGGATTTGAGAAGGGGACTCCTGGGGGTAGATGGTCTACTGAGGCTGAACTGCAGCAGCAGAGCCCAAAGGGTGGACAGAGCAGCCTCTGCCTAAGAGGGGCTGTTTCCACAAGGAATCAGGCAGGTGGGCTTTTGTTCATAAGCCCTCAAGTCCTCTGGGAAGGAAACCTAATATAAATTTATGGTGTCTAAAGCACAGCAACATTGATTATATGATGTGTTTGTTCCCAGTATAAGATCAGACAACGAGGACCTCAGGACTGACTTATTTTTATTTTAAATTCTGAATTGGTAAGCTGATTTGAGAAATTTACTGAATCATTACAACACACACACACACACACACACACACACACACACACACACGAGTAAAAGACCTGTCTGGGTTTCCCAGAAGTACCAGCTGTGGCCACATACGGATAGGATTTAAAAACTAGAATAGACACTCACAGACCCTCCCAGTAGAACTATGAGTTCTCATATGGCCAACCCACAAAAATGCTTGTTTCCAAAAGAAAACTTAAATTTTACCAACTCTGGAAAGAAATGTGTTTGGTGAGACAGCCAGCTGAATTTAAAGCACAGGTACTTTGAAGCCATTGCTCAGTTTAGCAAGTTAAAAAAGGGGTGTTAGAAGCCACGCTGTATGACCTAATACCTCTTTTGTGATTTTCACAGGGACTTTTAATAATAGGACTTCACAGCCTCCTGGGGTAGTTGCAACCACGAAAAATTATTATTACTTTTTTGTTGTTGATAAGCATTAATAAGTACTAATTCTACCCTCTGGGCCAGAGTAGAACAAATATAACATTTTTTTTCAAATATTAGGGAGGTTGAAATATAAAGATACCTATCACATCTTTCCTCCCACAGTTCAGTTTCTGCTGGCTAACCAATCTCAGGTCCTTCAACCCTATATAATAGGCATGCTTCAGAACTTAAATAGCTCCCAACTGTGAGCTTCTAGACAGCTGAGAGCAGAACAGAGCAGTCACCAGCTCCCTGGTAGCAGATGCTAGATTGACCTCAATGTAGCTTAAAGTGAAATGAAAGCTTTACTATTGTTATCATTGAGCTTCCTGTCAACTAAACTTAAGCAATTTCAACACACAGGGATATAAGCTGTATCTATTCCCTCCAAGTTTGAGCAACTGCCAGTTGGAGCCAACGTCTGGTCTTTACATTCCTCTTTTTCATTAAATTTCTGATTGGCAGGATGGCAGGCACATCTCACAATTAGAATTTGCTATGCAAATGTGATTTCTCATTATATTTTTGAACTCAATAGAAGCAGAGATCAAATAGAGTATAGAGAAAATGACCTAAGATTCAAAGTGGAAGAACTGTGCATGACCTTTTCCTGTGCCCAGATGAACTATGTCATCAGGGAAAACCATTTTTATCAGTCCTTGTCTTTTCATCAATGAAATGGAGAAAATGAGAACCATCCACTTCATGAGATGGTTGTGGCGTATTTATGTGAAACCATTCTGCTTCCTAACAAGTGCAAAGCAAATGTTATCTCCTACCCCATCTGTAAAACCTCAGTTGTTTTGGGGGGGAGGAGGGACACATCTGAGAAATGCGTGCCATCTGGCCCATGGTTACCAAACTGTGTGTGTAGGTGTCCTAGGGTACTATAGGGGGAAATTATACATTTTCAAGGTAAATACAGTAACATCTCTCAGGTAGTGGTAGAAAATAATAGCTCTAAGTAGCCCATAGTCTCGACATTAGATCATGCTACATTGCTCTGCATGATATATCTTTGTGAAGCTGAGTTTTCATGGTTGCTATGATAAAGAGCAAATACACTGTGAAAAAAATCAATGTACAACAGGAAATGAGGGAGGCAGCGTCCACTTTTACTCCAAGGTTTGAGCAGTTGTACAGTGCTCAGCAGGTGCACCCTACCATATGATTGGTAAGTGATTATGATTATTTGAGAATAAAAGAAAAAGAAGTATTATTCTTTCATTTATGTGCATTATTGTTTCAAATGTCTGCTAATTTTTTAGGACATAAATACTCTTTGAATTGTTTGATCTTGCCTGCTTAATAGATAGATACTGTTCAGTTTTACTTTTGGCCTAGGGGCTTTGCAGAGTAATTATTGAGACATTGAGGTACCATTAATCCAGAGAATCTGGGAACCTCTGCATTAACACTTGTCTCCATGGTTACATTAATCATGCATCAAGTACAGTTATTCATCTACTGAAGTGGAGCTTCACCCAAAGGTGCCATCACTTAAGTCTTCAACTCTTCTTCTGCATTCATGAAGATATCACAAGAGACCATGGAACAGAACCTTTAACAGCACTGGGAGGCCTAAGTCTGTGACTCCTTGAGATTTCATATGCCCCCCAAGTAATCAAGCAAGTTGGCCTCTTTATCAGCAAACCTGATAAAGTGTTCTGGAAAGAAAGGGAACCTGGGCAGGAAGCTCAGACACATGGACACTGTGCTGTGGGAGGTTCAAAGGGTTGTGGTGGTGGAAGAGGGAAGGTGCTAAACAAATTCAAGGTTTTCTTTGAAGTTAAAGTTGTTGCTTTTATGTTAGTGGGTTTTGAAATAAGCCAACCAACACAAGATAAATAGCAAGTCAAATATACTCACTATATTTTCCACTTTGGAATTTGGAGCTCAAGAAAGTTGAGGCAAGTCATGACTCTGATTACTTAAAGTAAAATATTTGAGTGTCCAACAGCTGCTTTTTCCCAAAAAGCAAAAAATAAAGAAAAAACCTGACTGGGTATATGAACTAAGTCATATCCCCATGTTTTAGAAGCATGAGATTCTCATCAAGGATTTATTATGCCCCTAACTGCAATGCCTTGAGAAAACATAATTCTAGCACACACTAGGGGTTCATAACAGATGTCAAACAGCTAATTTCTACAGAACTGGATAGGCACCATTACGCTTCAGCCACACATACTATTTTAGTATGCCAAGTTACCACAAAGCACAAACTAGCTCTTCCAAAATCTCAGTTTGTGACATGGAATCACATGCCACACTTAATACGTATTCCCAGCATATAATACGTCCAACACATAAAATAAGGATTCCCATCCACATCTGGTATAGGACACTTCTATACCATATTTTGGTGAATGACATATAGAAATATAAATTCAAAGATCTTCAGTAACTAGAGAGGTATTCTTCCCACTTTTCTTTTGGCTAACACATTAGATTCTAAAATAAAAAATAAGTTTTCCTTTTGAGACTTTCAAACAAAAATTCAGTATTCTGGAGTATCTCATTTATGGAATGTGTATTCCTGAAATTTTAAAACTCATTTTCTAAAGGTATTTCAAACATAACACTGAAAGATAACCATTGGCAGCTGCCTTATAAGATTAATGATCATGCATTAATTTATCTGATCTACAAAAGCCCTGGTCTCAGAGTGAGTTTTTAAATTCTGATCTTGCAATATCATTTGAACAAATTTGAGTCCTTTCTCTTCTCAGAGCTCAGCTGCCCCATTTGTCAAAGAGGGGCTGAACCTCCAATATTGATAGATGTAAACTGAGCTCACCTGAGCCAGGGGAATTAAAGGAACTCCACTCAGGGGCACCCAAGAGAACTTCAACCACAGCCACAACTCTTACTAATTAACCAGAGTCACCACATACTTTCATTAATTGAACTTCAAAACGTCTTTATTCCAAAAAAGACAGTCCTCGTGAATAAAAAAGAGATTTGAAAACCACTGGCCTAGATAACTGAGTCCCAAATTCTAAGTGAGCATCAGAACCTTCTAGAGCAGTGGTTCTCAACCTTGGCTGCACATTAGAATCACCTGGGAATCTTTTTAAAATCCTGATTTCTGGGCCTCATCCTCCGGAAATTCTGTTTCTTTGTTATGGGGTGGGGCCACCCACCCCATAACAAAGAAACAGAATTTCCGGAGGATGAGGCCCTAGTAACAAAGAAACAGAATTTCCAGAAAATGAGGCCCAGAAATCAGGATTTTAAAAAGATTCCCAGGTGATTCTAATGTGCAGCCAAGGTTGAGAACCACTGTTCTAGAGAGCTCATAAAACTACAGATTCTGATTCAGGAAGGCCAGGTGAGTCCAGAGAATGCATATTTTAACAAGTTCTGAGTGATGGCGTGTTGCTCGTCATGGACCACTAACGTAGCCAGCAATGGCCTGAACAAGAAGGCAAGTTCTCTCTTGTTGAAACATTTTAATTGGCTAAGCTTACATTCCTATAACACAGGATACTTGCAAAATTTTCACAGAGTGACATTTACAATTAATTAGCAGAAACACTGAATTTTGTCCCCTCTTTCAAGCTTTGCATATGTAGGTTCTTCTTTGCTTTTAAACCCAAACTAGCAAGTACAAATTTAGGTTGGTATTTCATTTAAGACAGTCTTCCAATCTGAGTATCTCACATAAGAG